GACTGCAAAACAAATGAAAATAAGGCCAAAACACATATTGTACACAATTAAAGAACTAAATTATGTGGTGAAAAATCTAAAATCTAGCCTCAGAATGAATCAGTCCCTCGTCTAAGCTTGTTGGACAGGCTGAAATGCAAGGTTTACCTCCCAGGACTTGCTGCTCGACAGTCCTCCCCTCAGATTCAGCTCTGCCTCCCAAGTAAGCAAGATACTGCATGAGCAATTTTGTTTCAAAATGATATTGTTGCAAGTGGTCCCATTAGTAGTTAGGCAATATTTTTCAAACCATTGTGAAAGACTCAGGTTTCTATCAGTCTGTCTTTCCTGTGATGTAGGAAAATAGCTCCAGACTCTTTGGGCCTTACTACAATCTCTTAAAATGTGAATGGTTGTCTCAACAAAGTTTTTACACCTATTGCACATAAGATCATCTGTCATACCTCTGTCGGCTCTAAGTTTATTTGAGGGGATTCTATCATGGAGGACAAGCCAAAGAAAAAACTTTAACTCCTGAGGAATTTCCATTTCCCAAATCTGTTTCCATCTCTTATCAACGACAGTGAAAGAAGTGTTATCAGTAAGGAGATTATAATAGTTTTTGGATGAAAACTTACCATTGGCTGCCTTACCCAAGGATATAGAATCAAGTTGCTGGCTGAATTGTGGCAGTGGAATGAACAAAATCTCTTGAACAATATTAGGAGGAAGAATCATACCTGTGGATTGCAGATTCCAGGATCCATCTGTGCCAATGAAGTTAGCCACCTTAACCTCTGTATCAATATTCGTTTGGGGATTCAGTTGCTGCAGAAGTGGTTTTCCACCAACCCACCAAGCTTTCCAGAAGTTAATGTTTTGTCCATCACCCACAATCCATTTTATACCTGCTTATAACGGGTTACAAATTTTCAAAATAGCATTCCATATGGGAGATGCATTGTTCTTTTTTTTCCAAGGTTCAGTGTTCATAGCAATGTATTTACTTTTCATAATCTCAACCCATAAGGATTTATTATTATTAGCTCTAAGTTCCCAACCTAGTTTCCCTAGGAGTGCTGCATTATTATCTCTGTTCTTCCTTAATCCTAGACCCCCACTAGCTTTGGGTGAACACACTTTGTCCCAGTTTAAGTAGTGAATTTTCCTCCTCTCTTCTGTGTCCCCCCATAGAAAATTTCTATTCAGTCTATCAATTTGATCACAAATGGACTGGGGAACCCATTGAGTTTGCATAGCATAGTTAGGGATAGTAGCAGTGACAGCCTGAATCAGGGTTGCCCTACCTGCTATGGTCAAGTTGTTAGCTTTCCATCCAGAAAACCTTATCTGAATTTTTTCAATAATGTCTTTAAAATGTTCTTTGGATTCTTTTTTTTTATGTAAAACTGGTATTCCTAGGTACTTACCTAGATCCCCAATTAAAGGGAAGCCAAGGATCCTACCAACTTTAGATGCTCTTCCTCTTCTTACATTTGGGGAAACATAGACTTTAGATGCTCATCTTAAGCCCAGATATCATACAAAACTCATCAAGAACTTTCCTTAACATATGACAGTCTTTATCCTGGGCTCTTGAAAATAGAATAATGTCATCAGCAAAGATAAGGTGTGATATCACAGGACCTCATCTTTCTGCTTTAAGTCCGTTCCAGTTCTTCAGCTGCACTTGTTCATTTATCATATGACTTAGCCTTTCCATGCAAAGAACAAACAAATAAGGGGAAAGAGGGTCCCCTTGTCGAAGACCTCTTTTGGGAACAATTGGCTCTAAGGAGGAGCCATTCCATAAAATAGACAGCTCAGTCTTTGTTACACAGTTCATAATGAGATCAATCCAGCTCCTAGGAAAGTTGAAATGAGTAAGGGTTCGTTGTAGAAAAGACCAACTGACTCTATCATAAACTTTTTCAAGATCAATTTTAAGAATCATGCTTCCCACTTTACCTTTCTTCTTTCTTAAACAATGTGCAATTTCCTGTGTAATGATTATGTTGTCAATCATCTGCTACCTGGGATAAAGCTGCTTTAATAAGGACCAACCGGCTTATCCAGCTTGGGTCTCAGCCTGGTTACTAAAAGTTTAGTCACAATCTTGTAGCTGACATTGCACAGACTAATGGGTCTAAACTGAGAAATTAACATTGGACTCTCAATCTTGGGGATAAGAGCAATCCAGGTTTTGTTCAATTGTTCTGGGCATCTGTTCTGGAAAATGTCTGTTACATTCTCACAAACATTAGGACCCACAATGCTCCTCACAAATTGATGAAGTAGCTGAAGGTTTTGTTCAAGTGATCTGAAGGTCGGATCCAATATAATAGACGAAGTAGCACTATCTTAACACTATAAAATCAGTATGTAACATTATATAAAAGCAGTAGCACTTTGTTAACATCATATAAAATCAATAGCACTATGTTAACATTATATAAAAGCAGTCACAATAGCACTATGGATTTAGTTACACGTTAAAGGTAGGTATTATATCAAGCCCAACAGTCTGTCAAATACATTAATGATTGAGTTCACAAATATCAAAACAATCAATAAAGAGAATATAATATAGAGAGATTGAGTTCACAGTAGCACCTGAAAAAGGTACACGAGGACAAAGGACCACAAAGCTGCACAGAAACAGTTAGCATTGTTGCAATGAAGGCTAGAATCACATATAAATGTATGTTAGAAAAGGATATCCATGTTGAAGAAAAAAAGATATCCATGGTGCATAGATGAAGTCAACAATAAAAACAAAACAATAAAATCAATTTAAAGCATACATGAAGAACTTAGTTTCGATGACCATAATGAAGTCAACAATACCGGATTTTGCAAACACAACTTGGACCCAAGTCAATTCTAAATCTGAATTAACTAAATCGGATAAACTAATCTTAAGATCAGCCAACACAAATATCCACTTGGTTCATTTTATCATGCAAAAGATATTAAAAAGCATAAAAAATGAGCCCACCGTCCATAAGCAAAGGGCTGAAGGAACTTTTTGAAACAAAAAAAAATATCGGTTTGACAATTTATCGAACAGGTGATACACAGGACCTAGGAAGAACAGGAAGGGGTTGTCGAGTGGGGTTATGATTGTGAAGAGAGAGTGAGAAAATGAGATGATTAAGGGAGAAGAGATGCGTGACAAAGAGAAAGGAGATGCGTGAGAGAGAAATGAGAAATGATTGAGAAGGATACCTAAAATAGCATGTGGCTGGGCAGCTACTGGCTGTCGTTGGCAATGAATGTGCAACGGCACAAAAAGAGAGGGATAATGGGCGGTTGTCGCTGGCGGTGAACTGAGAGAACAGACGCGTCACTGCTGGGCATTGGGCAGTAGCACAATAGGGAAGAAGGTAGAGAGGAAATAGAGTTAGGGGGAGATGATCATAAGCACATAGAGAGAGGGAGAGTGGCCAAAGAGGAGATGCGTGAGAGAGAGGAGATAATTGAGAAGGATACCTGAAATAGGCAGTGGCTAGGCAGCTACAAGCTGCCATTGGCACTATATGCAGCAGTGCAAAGAAAGAAGAATAAGGGGCGGTTGTCGCTGACAGTGAACCGAGAGAAGAGATGCGTCACTACTGGGGGTTGGGGAGCGGCGTAATAGGGAAGAAGGTAGTGAGAAAATAGAGCTATGGGGAGATGAGCATGAGCGCATAGATAGAGAGATGAACAGAGAGTAGATACATGAGAAAGAGAGAGAAAGAGGAGATAATTGAGAAGGACACCCAAAATAAGTAGTGACTAGGTAGCTGCTCGCTTTCATTGGCAGCGGATGTGCAGCGGCACAGAGAGAGAGGAATAAGGAGCGGTTATCACTAGAGGTAAACTAAGAGAAGAGATGCGTCACTGCTTGTTGTTGAAGGCTTAACTACCGGGGATTGGGCAGTAGCGCAACAGTGAAGAAGGTAGAGAGAAATAGCGATAGGGGGAGATGATCGTGGGCGCATAGAGAAAGTGAACGTGAGAAATGGAGAGAGAATTTTAGGGCACAACCATCGGTCATAGTTTGAAGAGCATATTTAGGGAAGAGAGGGAGATGATTTGAGAGAGACATGCGAGATAAAAATTGAGTGTAAGAAAAGAGATAAAGGGGAGACACAGAATAGATTTTGGTGGAGCCTTGGTGACAAAATGGAGAGTTTAGGCGGGAAAAAATATTTCTAGACTCATTCTGGCTCATTAGATTAGTAATTTTGAGATGGTCTAAACCACTTTGTATGTTGGGGTAACGTAGCCTGTCAATAGCCCGTCAAATGACCCTTTATTTTATCTTGAAATGATCTGCTCCACTTTTTGTCTTTTGATTCAAAAACAGCTCTATTTTATTATATAGATTAGTAGTAACGAAAAGCATTTATTGCTCAACACTGGGGTTGGCTACACATATTTTTTGGGGCACCACTTTGCCGTGTATCATGTGATATCCAGTGATGAAAATTTTATGTTAAGATAAAAAAAACAACTCCCTAAAAAATGAAATGCGCTACAAACAAGTATTTATTCTTTACTATAAAGCAAATCTTGGTCAACTAAATAGAGACTTGTTACCTCAGGTGGTGCGGAGCAAAGCATGCCAAAGCAATTATAGTACCTCCTAGGATCGGACACTTGACAAACACAAGACCTTTCCGACTGATAAGTTCTGATAACAGCTCCTGAACTCCTTTCTCTCCGGTCAAATTCAATCTCCACAAGCTTACCGAAATGACTGCAACGTACATAACATGAAGAGATAGAAGGAAACAATTCAACCAACTAGTATTAGAGAAACTTTGAAACATATACAGAAGTTACACCGTAAATGCAAATGTTCCCGCCAAGCGTTGTTGCTTCTGACTGTATTTGCATTACCGAATGCTTCTAGAACCGGATTTGACTGCAAAACAAATGAAAATAAGGCCAAAACACATATTGTACACAATTAAAGAACTAAATTATGTGGTGAAAGATCTAAAATCTGGCCTCAGAATGAATCAGTCCCTCGTCTAAGCTTGTTGGACAGGCTGAAATGCAAGGCATACCTCCAGGACTTGCTGTGCGACAATCCTCCCCTCAGATGCAGCTCTGCCTCCCAAGTAAGCAAGATACTGCATGAGCAATTTTGTGCTTTCCGTTTCACCCACTTCACTCTCGCCACTAAGCATATTGACTAACTGATTCCTTAATTGATCATAACTCTACATCCACAGAAGTGGCATTAATCATCGTAATGCAAAAGGGAAGACAATGAAATTATAAACTCATGATCATGACAACATACCTATATGCAACATCCGCAAAAGCAAAAGGGTGGGACAAGGGGCTCAGCTCACCAAAGGCTGCCCCTTTGTACTACGCCATCATATGCCTACCATATAAATCAAGCAGTTTTCTGAAAGGATTCACAACAATTAATATGTTTCTTGTGTAAGTCTGGAAACAATATCAAGTTGATTAGCTCCAACACATTTTATTTAAATAGGAAAATGTTGAAACAGATGCTTCCAAAATCAAATGAAGTGTGGAAAATACTTACATATATTTCATTGACATCATATCTCGAATTTAAATTATGCAGAACTCCTGGCTTATGAAAATAAGCCAGCTTTGTCCTATCATCCACTCCACTTGGTGGTGCTTCACCATCTTCTGGATAAATACAAAAAGTGTTAACAACAACCTGTAACAGAAATTTAACAAAAGAAAGAAAGGATCAAATTCAGTGAATCTTTCATCTCTGCATATTTGTTTCTTAACCAACAAAAATACCTAGAATAATTTGATGGAAATGATTTGACAAAAAGTTGTTGGACGAATTTCCACTTGTCAAAATTCCCTACAAAGCATATAAAATAACAGAAAAAATGAATTAAAAGTTGATATTCAGCATTTCAATAGTTGCAATCATTTGAAGTAGATTCACGAATTTCTCTTGAAACTCTCAAATCCATCTATATCCATCACCCCAATTAAGTATTTTGAGTCTGGGTCTTGACCAATTGAACTATGGATCTTATCCACAAGCCTACAACATCGATATATCAATACAAAGGCATAAGCAAAAACTACATCTAGATATTCCAAAAAATTTCGGGGTACAAAACTTAAAATAGGAATAAAATTCCTCCAATGACAAGTAGTGGTTACCAATCAAGCAAACATGAGTACACAATTTGCCAAAGCATCTCTACTGGCAACTGCAGCTTCTGGATCAAGCCATTTGGTAATGGTTTCATCATGAGTTACAATTATACGTTTGAAGAGGGAATCCTCTAAAGACTTTATGTCACACCTAAACAATACCAAACAATTCAAAGGTTGCATTTGGTTGAAATTGCATTTTGTTCTCCCGTAGTGAAAATTAAGTCAAGATACTTGAAAATTTATTTACTTCATTTGTGTGTGCCAGTCACCCTGTGCCAATGAAATTGATTATTTACGCAAACAGCTCCACAGCAGTTCTAAAATGAAACAAAAATTTTTCATTTGGCCACACATGAGTCGATTGTCTTTTCCTTCGCAAATTTGATATTTCCAAGATGGAGAATCGCAACCACAATTCGAAAAAACACATCCAGAGGAAGGAAGAAAATCAACAAGAATGAATTAAAGGATAGATTTTAAAGTGGAAAAATCATATTTCTTTCCCATATTAACCACAACTCCAAGCAAAAACCTTTCCTCAGTACTAATTCCAACAACATCCATTGGCCCCCTTGTAGCAAAATATTCTTTAGAATCATCAATGTCATCTAACTCGTAGCAATTTAATTAATTCAAATCATGAAACGTTATAGGATTTGCTAATTTGTACTTTTGAAGATCCTGGTAGCATGGAAAAATAATATAAGATTTGACTGAAATTGAAATGATATCCCAACACAATGATCAAAATTGAACTTCAATTCCCACTTTCACACATGCAAGCCTACCACACCTTTGGAACCCAACCAACAGGTTAACTTGAATGATGGAATAATTACTGCAAGGAACTTAATTTTAGAGGAATCGATGGTGTTTTCTTAAGAAATTGAACAAAAAATAACCACCGTTAAACAGACTAATAAATAAAAATGTATAAAAAATCTATGAAATAAACTAAATTTACAATAAACTCCTCTAAAATTAAATTGTGTCTCAATTTAATTACAACCTAGATTGATATTCCACAAAATATTAACAATTATTAGTCAACAAATTTCACAAAACATATCCAAAAAAAATGTGAAACATTCTAGCTAAAAGTATGGCCAAACAAAGATGAGCAATATAGTATAACAACGTATTATAAACATAGTTTTAATGTATTTTAAAGGTATCTCAAATATTCCAAACTTGATTCAATCAAAAAACATACACAATAAAACATGCCGCTCATTGTGGTCCCTACTCGGTCCCAAAGCATGAAGGCAGAAGGCCTCCTCTCAATTGTCATGTCATGATCATAGCCATACCCTTCTATAAAAAAAAAGGGAGAATCCACAAGGTGTCAAATAAGCTCCAAAAGTCATGAATTCTTTACTTTCCAAAAACTACATCTCTCCTACAAAAATTTCTTGAAATGCTTTGTACAACTATATAATTTTTTCAATAACTTAAGAAAAAAAATCACATGTCAGTAAGTTCAATACAATATTCACAGCTATCCAAAAGTTCGACATAATGAAAAGAACTATGCTTTTTTTCCTACTTTTCTTACCCTAGAATCTAGGCTATAGATAAATGCACATATTGGAACAAACTCGTATATGTGGAGTAAAGCAGTTCAAGAGATACCTGTGCAATTTGATCAGTACCTCAGTATTTCAAGAGCTAAAAATGTTTTTTTGAGTGACGACAAGAAAACTCAAAAAATTCTCGTATAACTCGTCCTCAACTCCAATGTTTTTACTCCAATAAATGGATACTGGTGGTAGAGAACCACCAATGGAAACACCACCCAGCTCTAGAATTACCACAACCTACACATTGATAAACAAATTAAATTAAATACTCAAAAGATGTATCCATATCATAACCCATTTTACTTATGCGCCGCACAATATCATAGATTGTAGAAAAAAGCGTAAGATCTTAACTGGTCACGGTCCAAAATGTTTGGGAAGAAACAAAAAGCCATTGCGAAACAATCCACAATAAAAGCATACTATGTTACATATTGAAGGTCGGATCCAATATAAAAGATGCAGTAGCACTATGTAAACATTATATAAAAGCAGTTGCAGTAGCACTATGGATTTAGTTACACATTAAAGGTAAGTATGATATCAAGCCCAACAGTCCGACAAATACATTAATGATTGAGTTCAAAAATGTAAAAACAATCAATAAAGACAATATAATTTAGAGATTGAGTTCACAGTAGCACCTGACAAAGGTACATGGGAAGGAAAAAGGACCACAAAGCTGCATAGAAACAGTTAGCATTGTAGCGATGTAGGCTAGAATCACATATAAATGTATGTTAGAAAAGGATATCCATGTTGAAGAAGCAAAGATATCCATGGTGCAAAGATGAAGTCAATAAAAAAAACAAAATAATAAAATCAATTTAAAGCATACATGAAGAACTTAGTTTCGATGACCATAAATGAAGTCAACTATACTGGATTTCGCAAACACAACTTGAACCGGAGTCAATTCTAAATCCTAAAATAACTAAATCGAATAAACCAATCTTAACATCAGCTAACACAAATATCCATTTGGTGCATTTTATCAAGCAAAAGAGATTAAAGAGCAAAAAAAATGAGCCCACTGTCCACAAGTAAAGGGCTAAAGGAACTTTGAAATAGGCAGTGGCTGGGCAGCTCCTGACTGTCATTGGCAATGGATATGCAGTGGTGTAGAGAGAGAAGAATAAGGGACGGTTGTCGCTGGCAATGAGCCAAAAGAAAAGGTTTGTCATTACTGGGGATTGGGCAACGGTGCAATAAAGAAGAAGGTAAAGAGAAATTAGTGGTAGGGGAAGATGGACGGAGAGGAAATGCATGAGAGAGAGAAAGAGGAGATGATTGAGAAGGATACCCGAAACTAGAGGTGGCTAGGTAGCTGCTCGTTGTTGTCGGCAATGGATGTGCAGCGGTACAGAGAGAAAGGAGACAAGGGGCAGTTGTCACTGGCGGTGAACCGAGAGAAGAGATGCGTCACTTCTGGGGATTGGGCAACAACACAATAAGGAAGAAGGTAGAGAGAAAATAGAGTTCGGGGAGATGATCATAAACACATAGAGAGAGATGGATGGAGAGAAGATGCGTGAGAGAGAGAAATGATTGAGAAGGATACCCGAAACAGGCGGTGGATGGGTAGCTACTCGCTATCATTGGCAGTGGATGTGCAGCGCACACAGAGAGAGATAGGAGATAAGGAGTAGTTATCACTGGCGGTGAACCGAAAGAATGTGTCACTTCTGGGGATTGGGCAGCAGCATAATAGGGAAGAAAGTAAAGAGAAAAAAGAGTTAAGGGAGATGATCATAAGCGCATAGAGAGAGATGGACGGAGAAGAAGTGCGTGAGAGAAAGAAGAGATAATTGAGAACGATACCTAAAATAGGTAGTGGCTCGGCAGCTGCAGGTTGTCGTTGACAATGGATATACAGCGGCACAAAGAGAGAAGAATAAAAGACGGTTGTCACTGGCGGGGAACTGAGAGAAAAGATGTGTCACTACTGGTGATTGGGCAATGGCACAATAGAGAAAAAGGTAGAAAGAAAATAGAGGTAAGGGGAGATGAACATGAGCACATAGAGAGAGATGGTAGGAGGGAAGATGCATGAGAAAGAGAGAAAGAGGAGATGATTGAGAAGGATACCCGAAATAGGCAAGAGCTAGGTAGCTGCTAGCTATTGTTGCCAGTGTATGTGCAGCGAGACAGAGAGAGAGGGGATAAGGGGCAGTCATCATTGGCGGGTGAGCCGAGTGAAGAGATGCGTCACAGCTTCTTGTTGAAAGCTTAAGTGTTGGGGATTGGGCAGTGGCGCAATAATGAAGAAGGTAGAAAGAAAATAGAGATAGGGGGAGATGATCATAGGCGCATAAATAAAGTGAACGTGAGAGAGGGAGATAGAATTTTAGCACACAACCATAGGTCTTAGTTTGGAAAACATATTTAGGGGAGATCATTTGAGAGAGACACACAAGATAGAAATTGAGTGTAAGAGAACTCGATTAAGAAAGGAGATAAAGGGGAGACACAACGCAGATTTTGGTGAAGCCTTGGGAAGTGATTGAAGGCCTAATGAAGGGTAACAAAATGGAAAGTTTTAGGCGGGAACAAATTTTTCTAGACTCATTCTGGCTCATTGAATTAGTAATTTTGAGATGATCTGAACCACTTTTTATGTTGGGTAATGTAGCCCCATCGAATGACCCATTATTTTATCTTGAAACGAATTGAGTCTTTTTTGTCTTTTGATTCAAAAATAGCTATACTTTATTATATAAATTAGTAGTAACGGAAAGCATTTGCTGCACAACACTAGGTTTGGCTACATATATTTTTTTGGGCACCACTTTATCACGTATCATGTGATATCCAAGGATGAAAATTCTATGTTAAGATTAAAAAATAACTCCATAAAAAATGAAATGCTCTACAAGCACATATTTATTCTTTATTATAAAGCAAATCTTGGTTAACTAAATAGAGACTTGGTACTGCAGGTGGTGCGGAGCAAAGCATGTAGAAGCAATGATAGTACCTTTTAGGATTAGACACTGGACAAACACGAGACCTCTTCGGCGGGTAAGTTCTGAAAACAACTCCGAAACTCCTTCCTCTCCGGTCAATTTCAATCTCCACAAGTTTACCGAAATGACTGCAACGTACATAACATGAAGAGATAGAAGGAAACTATTCAACCAGACAATATTAGAGAAACTTTGAGACATATATAGAAGTTACACCATAAATGCAAAATGTCACCACCGGGGAGTTGTTGTTTCTGACTGCATTTACATTGTTTCTGACTGTATTTGCATTACCGAATGCTTCTAGAACCGGATTTGACTGCAAAACAAAGTAAAACAAGGCCAAAACACATATCGTACACAATTAAAGAACTAAATTATGTAGTGAACGATCTAAAATCTGGCCTCAGAATGAATCAGTCCCTCGTCTAAGCTTGTTGGATAGTCCCTCATCTAAGCTTGGTGAAATGCAAGGCTGACCTCTAGGACTTGCTGCTTGACAGTCCTCCCCTCAGATGCAGCTCCACCTCCCAAGTAAGCAAGATACTACAGGAGCAATTTTGTGCTTTCCGTTTCACGTGCTCCACTCTCGCCACTAACCAAAATTGACTAACTGATTCCCTAATTGATCATAACTCTGCATCCACATAAGTGGCCTTAATAATCGTAACGTGATCATGACAACATACCTATATGCTGCATCCGCAAAAACAAAAGGGCAGGACTGGGGGCTCAGTTCACCAAATGCTGCCCCTTTGTACTGCGTCACCATGACTATCGTATAAACAAGGCAATTTTCTGAAAGGATTCACAACAATTAATATATTTCTTGTGGAAGTTTGGAAATAATATCGAGTTAAATAGGAAAATGTTGAAACACTTACATATATTTCATTGACATCATACCTCAAATTTAAATTATGCCGAACTCCAGGCTTATGTAAATAAGCCAGCTTTGTCCTATCATCCACTCCACTTGGTGGTGCTTCACCATCTTTTGGATAAATACAAAAAATTATTAACAACCACAAAACCACTTATAACAGAAATTTAACAAAAGAAAGAAAGGACCAAATTCAACAAATCTTTCATCTCTCTGCATATTTGTTTCTTAACCAACAAAAATACCTAGAATAATTTGATGGAAATGATTTGACAAAAAGTTGTTGGATGAATTTCCACTTGTCAAAATTCTTACAAAGCATAAAATAACAGAAAAAATGAATTAAAAGTTGATATTCAGCATTTCAATAGCAGCAACCATTTGAAGCAGATTCACCTGTTTATCTTGAAAGTCTCAAATCCATATATATCCAACACCCCAATTAAGTATTTTGAGTATGGGTCTTGACCAATTGAACTATGGATCTTATCCATAAGCCTACAGCATGGATACATCAGTACAAAGGCATCAACAAAAACTACATCTAGATATTCCAAAAAATTTGGGGGTACAAACCTTAAAATTGGAACAAAATTACTCCAATGACGAGCACTCAATAATACACAACTCGAAAAAGCATTAAAATGAAGGTTACCAGTTAAACAAACATGAGTACACAATTTGCCAAAGCATCTCTACTAACAACTGCCCCAACTTCTGGATCAAGGCCATTTAGTATGGTTTCATCATGAGTTACAATTACACGTTT